CATCTACAGTATCTAGTTTTAGCTCAGTAATTGCAGAGCATCATCTGTCTAGTAGGCAGCGAGCTTCTCCAGAAGTTAGTTCGTCATGGAAGCTTAGTAAATTTCTTTAACGGTCTTAATAGTTCAGAAATAAGACATGCATCCTGTTTTGTCAATTACATATAACAGGGGGAGGTATGAGCTTACCACATAAGGTGATTCTGTGGGCACCTGGTCTTATCCAGGAGGCAAGATTTTTAACTGGCTTCACATACTACTTCGACTCGTGCTTGCATTGTTAGTTCTTAATACTGGTAGCGCAGTGTTAGCTCTATTTAACTGAGAATGAGAGAGTTCAATTATCATCAAAGAAGAAATGATGAACACATTAGGGTGAGAGAGCACTACAAGTACTACCCTAAAGCACAGCAGTATGACAATACAGTATCCAGTAGGTACAGAAGAACAGGCCAAGTCAGTGCAACAGGAAAAGGTCAATATTAGTGATGCTGGTAGCATTAATGATAGTGGTGATACAAGCACATCAGGGCTTTCCTTGGTTTGCGTTCTCTCAACTCTATCCATCAGGCTGGGCTATCTTATTGTTAACGAGACGTTATTGATTAATATGGCAGGTTCTGTCATGCCTTTATGTCACATGAAGTTACTTGCCGTTATCAGGCTAACCTTCTGACTTGTTGCAGTATTTTACTCCATCCTGAGGTTAAGTAGACATTTCCTGTCTAAAAGGAGGGTAATCTGCTCCATAATCAACTGGAATTGCTATATCCTGTAACCGTGTCAGGGGCAGAATAGTAGGCAATGAGCAGAGCAGATGGGAATAGGAGCTTACCAAATTTCGTCTCGTCTTCACCTGGTGATTGTGTAAAACTCCAAAGTTGTATTAGGAGCATGCGTCTTATGTGTGGATTTGTAGATCAGCAGATATAGGCAGGCTGATTTGGCCGGACTGCACGGCAGATTTAAGGTGCTTACGAGCGATGTAGCCATTTACGTCTATCCATTTGCTTTCAAAAACATTTTATCGAATCGAACGCCCTGATTGGGTTTTGAATGGCCAATGACTGTGTGAATTGTAGGTGTACGAGTGCGCCCACTTAAAGGCCTCTAGAGACCTTGAGCACTCTTAACGCTTTTCTTGGGTTTTCCCTATGTAAGGACGATAGGACTACCCTTGTAGAATTTGTCTACTTTGCATGTGCTTTACGTCCAGAGAGCTAGCTCTGCAGAATTT